ATCCAAACCAGATAATATTTGTATTTCGGGCATTATATTATCATTAGTTTTATTACGTGAAAATTCGATTCCAATACAATAACTATTTGGATTGCCTTTATTAGCTAATATAGAATTATGTGAAACAACACCAGCATGCCAAGCTGTATTTGCCTCACTTACCATTTGTGTAATTTTACCATCTTGTCCAACAACATAATGAGCTGAAACTTTACTTGCTGGATTTAAAAACCATTCAATTGTACCACCTCCTGCTGTTCCATGTAGAACAAGACCCTTGAAATAGAATTTTTTTTTTCTTAAATTAAATTTTAATTTATATTTATATTTTACACTAATTGGTGCTAATCGACCAATTGTATAATTAGGTGATGCTATTTTATATGCTTTAGAATAATCGACTTTCCAATTATCGTTTGCTATAATAAGAAAAACATAAAAGACAAAAATGGTTCAAATGAGAAAAAAAAGAAAGTTCGTTTAAATTTCTCTATATGGAATAAAATATATTTTTATATCTCGTCGATCACTCACATGAAATAAAAGAATGATTATTGTCAGATTTAATCGTTTTTTCTTGCGTGCTCATTATATTAAAGGATTTCTTTTCTTTTTTTTGAGTTCTTTATTGTATTTATTTCGATCTTCTTCTTCTTGACAATATATATGCTCGATTACTCACATATTATATTAATCCAAAATATATAAAATGTCAAAAAAAAAATTCTTTTTCTAACATAAAAGAAATTCGTATTATTTTTGTAGAGTAATTATTTTTGAAACATCGAATCAAAAAACAAATATAAATTATTCTGTAATGTTTGCGCCCTCTGTTTGTTCCTTTTCACTATTGGAGTTTTCCATTGAGCCATTTATATTGTCGTTCACCTCCTCCGGTTTATATGAGTACGCCATGATTTGTGTTTTTTTTTTGTTCTATATATGTAGATTTTTTTTTTCTTTTTCTTTTTCTTTTGTTGTTACTTGTCTCAAGTGGTTTTACTTATTGCAAATACCGCTTAATAATTAGTTTTAGATCAAACATTTATTTTTATAATCTGTTATTTTATTTAATAAAAACAAATTTATAAATTGTTTGTTTTCTTAAATTATGGTTATGCCATTATCAAATACGAAATTACGTATACCAAAAGGTTTTCAAAGTCTTTTAGTTGGTTTATCAACTGAAATCCTTCGAAGTCAACCAAGAAATATTCCTAAATTTGCTGCTGAATATTTTGAAAAATTACTTCAACGAAGAGGTAAGAGTAAATTTTGGTGTTTTTTTTTTGAAATCTTAAAATTCGATTTAACATTATTATAAATACAAGAAATCATTTTCTATTAGTTATTTTTCATAACATTTACATATATTTAATATTTCTTGTTTTTTTTCATGTGAAATGACTTTCTAGAATGTTTGTTTTCTTTGATTGTTGTACGGAAAGCAAATCATTGATCTTAAAAAGTATTAGATACTCTCGCATGATTACATCGCGTGTGAATATTTGATAGTAAAAATTTCCTTTTGTGATTATAAATTATTTGCTAAGAGACTGTTGAATGAATATAACATCGATAAAATTTTTTGTTTAAATATTGAATGATTGTACTCAATAGAAAATCTTTTTATTTAAATCGTATATACAATATTATTCGCTTGAATAACTGCTCTTGTCATGTAGAAAGACTGATGAATTGTATTAATGATTTGTTGGTAATCATCAACGGATGTATGCATGCATGCATGCATGGATATATTTGATGTAACTGTCATCACAGTGAACATCGTCGATTGATGTTAATTCTTCTATCATTCTTTTTTTTTTTTTCTTTGTCTCATTGATTTTATATATCTAGTGTGTATCAAATTTTCCGTTTGATGACAGTTTACCATCCTCCAATGCGTTATCATTGTTCGTGCATACACAGTGAATTTTAGTGGTATATTTTATGTATGATTGTCTATTGGTAATAATGTTGATAGCATCTCTAATCTAATCATTCTCGACAACATACATTAGAAGCGAAGAGACACATACAATGTGGAATTATTTCGTTGTTTGTTTGCATTTGTCTATCGGATGCTATTCGGCCTTCCTTCCCTCCCAATCAATTATTCATATGATGAAAGGAATGCCGAAAAAAAAATAAGAGCAATCACTAGGGTTCATACAATTGCAAGAGTACAGATAATATGCATACACATAAACTAAAAATGACAGTCTCATTTGACTACTTTATTTTTCTACTCATGTGCATGTATATGCTTATATATGAAGATTAGCTCGGCACAGCAAAAAAGATAGGAATGACTAATTCCTCATGAGAATCCTAATAAATAGTGGATCAAAGTCACTGGCGAAACGAGCAAAAAAGCGATAGAATGAAAGAAGCGAAAAGAAATTGGTACCACTCAGCCTCAGGCATATATATGTAATTTATTTTGAAATGAAAAAAAAAAAAGAAACTTTTATTACTACTTTTCTTTTCCTTTCTTGACTCGGGCAAGCATCCTCGACTTATGAATGCATAGCAGGCAACAGCTTGCATGATGAGGAAAAGTTCATCAATCTGATACATGAGAAATATTTCTCTTGTTTGCTCATTCTTTTTTTTTTTCTACTAAATATAGAGAATATAAGGGAAAAAGAGACCGCCGAGAAAGAAAGAAAAAAGAGGAGAAGAGTAAGAACAGCCTTAATGACAAAACACTCTTTTATTATTACTACGGCTGCTATTGCATCTACTACTTCTTCCATACATTTACCAACATCGACTAAGACGATCTAGAAAGGAGAAGAAAGAAAAAGAGTAAGACGCCAACGACAAGAAAATGGGTGCATGTGCATCAAAAAACAAAAAAAACAAGGAAAAATACCTGAAAAATGATGTGATTAATACCGGTAATAATAATAATAACAATAACCATAAAGATTCAATTATTGAACAAGTACAACAACAACAGCAACAACGAAAGTCATCATCAACTAATGTTGATAAATTTCCTAATGTTCCATTTATTGATTCAGAAGAAAAATTAACTACAGCTACTCCACCACTATCAACAGAACAATCAATACCAATTAATCATGATAAAGAAAATGATGAACGAACAACCATTAAAACAAATTTTGAAACTAATGTATCCTATTCAAATGTTGAAACAATTGACAAACTTAAACAAGAAGTTTATACATTTCTTCGAGAAAAAATTTTTCCAATTAATGAAGAAAAACAAAAACTTATTGATTATGTACACAAACGTATGATGGGAAGTTCAACAGATAATAAAATAATTGATGAAAATCTTGAGAAATGTTTTACTGACATTAAACAAAATCAACATCCTGATAGTGATAATAATAATAAAATAAAAAATCGTTTAATGAATATAATAGCTGTTTATGTAGCATCACAATCATCAGATAATTCATTTTTAAAAGCACTTTATGATAAATTGGGATCATCACTTGATCTCAATTCATTAAATGCTGAAACAAAAGAACATGAAATTGTTAATGTAACAGTAACAAAAACTGTACGACAAGTTTTTGTTGATACTTCATCATCATTAAAATCACCAAATGAAAATTCTAATGGAACAAAAAATATATCCGAAAATGTTATACATATATCAAATAATGAGCATCACATTCCGGCTGATTTACCTGATGATATACGACGTAAAGCAGAACAAGTATTGAATAGTTTTAATGATGTTATACATACAAAATAAAATTAAATAGAACATTTTTGTTGGTTTTTCTTTTTTCTATCGCTTTATGTGCCTATTTCTATCAATAGTTATTAATCAATTTGAACGCTTTTCTGTTGTTCGTCTTGTCTGCTAGTGTATGTGTGTATATGTGACATTCATACAGATGAAGAAAAGTGCTATGACACTTTAAAACAAAATTAATAATTTATGAAAAGAATAAGTATTAATAAGAAATTTCACAGTTTAAAAAAACAAAAGATTTCATATGAGTATACTTTATCAATATGATTTTTTTAATGATATCAATCACACGCAAATTAGAACAAGAAATTATCGTATAGACTATTCTCTTATATGATCATTGATTATATATTTAAAAAATAAAATAAGAAATAATGTTAAACTTATTATATAGAATGTCCAGAAAATAATAAAACAAAGAAAAGTTTAAATACATATCTCTGCCATATTTTGATCAAATGGGCTAATATTTTTACCATTGATAAAGGAGTAGAAATAGCTTATATTCATAAGAGAAACGTTGTCAAAAATTGTTTTGAAGTAGTACAACTAACTTCAACAAAAAACTGACCTTTCACGAGTTATGAAAAATCAATATTACAGTTTTGTCAATGGTTGAAATTTCCAGAGTACACTGGATAACAAGACATGTATCTGTAATATAACTATGAGACAAAACAACACTAGTATGGAGGAGTAACCGAAAAAATTACATGCTGTTTATTCTTGGCTAAGGGAATAAATATATTGGTTTTTTCATAACTGGGGAAATATTACAGTTTCTCGTTGAAGTTAGTTGTGCTACTTCAAAACAATTTTTGTCAATGTTTCCCTTATGAATATGAGTTATATCTACTCCTTTATCAGTGGTAAAAATACTAGCCCATTTGGTCAAAATATGGCAGAGATATGTATTCAAACTTTTCTTTGTTTCATTACTTTCTAGACATCCTGTCTATATATATATTTTAGAAAAGTAAAAGTTCATTGTCGCGTTAAACATGAAAAATGTGACAATATTCTTTATAAATAAAAGCTGATAGAAATTTTTTTTAATACTATTGAAAATAAAGTTTGCATGAAAGGAAATACTCTGAATTAATTCTGCTTTTTGCTAGATTAATTTTATTGAAAAGAAATAATTTTTCATATGAAATCAATAAGCTCTAAGTATATATTCGACTAGATAAAACTTGAAAACAATTCATTCTTCCATTGTAGAAACAAAAAAAAAGAAAAGAAAATATTATCTTTTTAAATGTGTATAATGCATCGTTTAGAACACGGAGAACAAACGTATTCGTCCGACAAACAAACGGCTCTTGAAGATCGTTATTATAATAATCAAAGTTTTCAAGTTTGTTCTTTTTTTTTTTTGCTTTTTAATTTAATTATAATATAGAGTAATCTAAATGTCACTCTATCGAACAAAAAATATTGAATATTATCATCATAATTCAATAAAATAAGTTGATTCTTTTATTGTTAATAAAGAAGTATACATAGTTCATATTCATAAGACAATCATTGATGAGTTCTAGAGAAAAAAAAAGCACTTTTGAAACTTATATCTGTATGTTCATATCTTTTCTATCCTCTATATGCAAAAAGTTTTAGCCATACTAAGAATATTGAATAATTTTTCTTATGAATAGGAACTAAAAATATTTCTTTATTAATAATAGAAAGATTAACTTTTTGTGTCAAAAATATTTTTGTTTCGAATAAAGTGACTTTTAAGATTATGGTGATATTCTTTAGGAGGATTATCCGGTTAATGATCCAAATGTAAACCATGCAGCAACAAAAATTCAAGCACAATTTCGTGGGCATAAAGCAAGACGAGATTTAGAAAAAATAAAACAAGAAGTTCGTAGAAAATCTAGGATTCTTTTGTTTTTGTTATTATAATAAATCTTCAATTTTTTAGCATCAACAAATAAATGATTCTGATCAACAAAAAATATCTTATGATTATGAACAATTAACAACAGGAAATGATGAATATCAAGTATTTGTTTTATATATTAAATTAATAAATATAATTTTTATTAATTATTATTTAGCAATCATCATCTGTAGCAAGTACACCTTTAAAACAAGAAAATGAATATGATGAAGTAAATTTATTTTTAATTTTGAAATAGATTGAAAGAAAAAATTGAGTTTTTTGTTTTTTGTAGAATATTGATGATGAAGAACTTACGGAGGAAGAAAAACATAAGCAAGAACGTGCTGCTATATCGATTCAAGTTTGTTTGTTCTTTTAATTTCTTCGAATTATACATTTTATTTTTTAGGCACAATTTCGTGGTTTTCAAGCTCGAAAACATCTACGAGACCCATTTGATCATACAGATGAAGAAAAACAATATTTTCATCAGGATCAACAGGTAATATTTCTATTAGAAAATGATTTCATTATTGTATGAATCTTAAAAGAAAATGATGAAAATTTATTGATATATAAAGATAATCATTGTTAAATTAATACTACTTTGATAACGGCATTTTTCTGTATGATTATTGTTAAATCAATTGAAAACAAATGGATGATTTATTTTCTTTTTCTTTTCATATTTTCATTAGTCATTCATTTAATCATATTGATTTTTTTCAGGAATTTGACAATGATCATGACAAAACATCTGTATTATCATCAACTCGTTCTAGTGATCGTCGTGATCTTGGTGAAGATCTCAGATTACATGATGAGATTGAAATAGGTAACTATATATATATATACATATATCATTTATGCTAATATCATTATCTTTATATTATTCCTTTTCATTAACCGAAATGATATTTATTGTTGTTGTTCCTTTCCATTAGTTTTTGTATTGCCATGATAAAACACCGTATCAATATACATAAAAGAAGCAGTTCAGTATAAGAAATCTATGGGTTAGCGTTTTTTCCTGCTGTTATTGTTGAAGAGGAAAAGCTTCATCTAAGAATGATATATGGATAGGGAAACATTTTCTAGCAACACAACAGCATAACTTATCGATAGAAGAAAAGAAAAAAAAGAAAAAGAAGAAGAATATCAGCAGGATACAACTACAACGAATGTTGTTTATATTCTTTTGCATTCTATCAACAGACAAACAGACAGACAGATAGTTAGACAAAAAAGAAGAAAAAAAGAATTTCTTCTTGAGAAAATCATACGAGAGTATATACATCTGTTCATACTTCAACAACAAGATTTCCATAGGTAAGTGTCTGAATAGTCTTTATATATCATGTAAATATTATATGAACTAATGACTACAATACAATAAGAATTAATGCTTTAAATTGAATATTTTTATTTTCTTAATAAACAGAAAAACAAAAAAAAAAAAATAACTTTTATTATCTAGATGAGAAAAAACAAGTTTGATATATGATTGTCTTTATTATCAATTCTCGATGAATATTATTTTAGTAAATATTGTACGAAATTTTTTTTTTCGCTTGATTATCTAGAAAGTGTGTACTAGTTTCGTATTACGCTAATCTTTTGTCATCAAGGCAATTACACATGATGCAGAAATGCTTTCATTCTTTCCCGTAATATTGAGACATCGTTAGTTGCACAAGAGAAAAAAAAATTAGAGAAACAGCAAAAAAAGAAAACGACATTATACAGTTCTTCGTTGGTATAAATATCTATAAAAGAAACAGTTTTCAGCATTGATCATCGACGTCATATATATAGTGTGTTAAAACACCAGCCTATATATGACATTCGCTTTGTTGTTGAAGAAAATCTGCCTATAATACACAAGATATCGTTGGCATTTGACAGTATTACTACGTAGAATCTCGATAGTCGATAATCGATCAGATGAATTCTACCGATTTATCTGAGATAGGAACAGCTTCAAGAGGTTAGAAATGACGTCGTGATAAGTCAAATTATATGCCTACAAGTCGAAGTAGAAAGGTCACTATCTAGAGTGAAGATAGAAAAGAAAATTAATCAACTGCAATCACCAAGAAAAACATACACATATAGAAATCAATTCTTTGACAAATCTTCAAAGATTGGAGACAAAGAAATAAGTATTAACAGAACTACTAATAAATGTTATTGATTATTAACTAATATATTAGTGTATTATTTAATTTATTATTATTATTTTTTTAAATGAATTATTTTAGACAAAAACAACAATACTGATCGACCACATCTTGAACGTGAACCAACACAATTAAGTGACGATTTTGAACTACATAAAGGTGTATTACGTGATATAAATTATAATCGAGAACATCAAGAAGAATTTATTAACGACGAAGACGATATGAGTGATCCAAATCTTGATAAGGCAGCTACACGTATTCAAGCATCATATCGTGGTTATAAAACTCGAAAAGAATTAGGTTCAGGCGGTGGTCATTCACCTATTAGTCATGATCAACAGAATCCATCATCACCTTCTCCAAAAACACATAAAGAACATGATGATGCTCGTAACAAAAATAGTATGTTTCATTTGTTTATATATCATATTATATTCTTGATTTAGTTTTATCACCATCAGCTGAAGGTAATAAAGTACCAGCACATGAAGATGAAAGTGATAATGCAGCTGCTGTTAAAATTCAAGTAGATAATAAAAATAAAAATTTACAATTATTCGTTTGTTTATTTTTTTTTAAAATTAGGCTGCTTATCGTGGCTATCGAGTTAGAAAAGATTTGGAAAAATAAAAGTATTATTTTTTTTTTGAAGATAGGTGTTTAAATGATGAAACCGATTCCACACATTAAAAAGACAAGACAAAAATTTATTTGAATTCTCTCGTTTATTTTCCTTTTGTTTTTCTAATCTCACAATATGATTTATTATGTTATAAGATTACGCATGTGTTTGTCTTTACTTTTACAAGAAATCTTGCTTTAGTATATGTATGTGTAATATATGTGCGTCTCACTTGTGCTTCCTTGTTTCTCTTTCTTTTTTTTTTATTTCTTACATTCTTGTTCTTTTTTTTCTGCGCTCTGTCTTTTACAGTGTCACAAGTGTTTCACACGAAAGTGATTTTAAATATAAAATTTTAAATATACTCTTAGATGAATATAGCAAAAAAAAAAAACAAGCAAGTTAAATTAAGAATTAATAGATGAGATTTTGATTAACATGATAGCTGTCAAATGAGAAATGAACTTCACATGATTTTACCCCATTTTGATTCTCTACTAATTTGTATAAAAAAAATTTTAAAATCAAAGAATATCACGAAATATTATAGGCTCGAGACTAATAGATAGTGTGTTAAAATATTATGTTTAAAAGTATTACAAATTTTGTAAAAATGAAATCGATTATGTATATTTGATGAGTAATTCACAGCTGTCGACAGCTAATACCCTGAAGTATTTGTTGTTTTGATGGACAATCTGAGACAAATATGAATGTTTAGAGTAATTAAGATTCATAGAATTATTCATGACGTATGTCAATTAAAAGTCATTGTTTGAGAAACTATTTTTAAAACTTTGATTACCACCTGCATCCAAATAAAAAGCAAAAGATGTCTGGGGTTTGTATAGTAATCGAAGAAATTCATCATGAATAAAAATTTTTTTGGTTTCATTTGGATATTAATCCTAATCAAACCCTATATGCTTCACATATGTCTCAGATTGTTCATTGCAATAGTTAAGACTGCAGATCATTAATTCTTTACGGCTAAGAGTGAAAAAAAAACATCAATCTGACCTATGAAAGTTAACTAAATTATTGGTAAAATTGTGAGAGATCTATTCTTTATATAACATCTGATTTGAACACTCATAAAAAATCAGCAATGCAAATAGTAAGTATATATTACATGATGAATTGACCATGAACAAAGCTGTTTATAAGTGATCCATACCGATACATAATCGAGTAGACTTTACTTTTGTATTCAAGGATTAAGTTGTACGTGCGTGCGATTTCTAATAAAAAATATCAAGTATCTTAGTTTGCTATAGGACTATAAAAGTATCTTCGCTCTTCGGAAGGATTTATTAGTATTTTAGATTATTCAATACTTATGTTTTCTTGGCTGGTTCTTTCTAAAAATATTTCTTTTTTGTTATTTGATAAAAAAACAAGATAACGATAATCAAATCTTATCAGTTTATTATATAAAACTAATAGGATAGAAAAAAAAGTCATTTGCATCATGTGCTTGATTCGTCCATGTAACGATTTATTTTTGTAGGCGAAATTGAACTATCTAGTTAAACAAGATAAAAATGACCATCTTGTAAGACAATGTTCTATCGTAGAGAAAAATGTTATTAAAGAGTCATAGATTTTTATTTTCTAATTTTTTCATATAAATAAATATAATTTTTATTAAAGATGATCAAGCGTTCTAAAAATTCTTTGGAATAGATTCTTTAAATATAATAAAGAAGCTATTTACATTGAAAAAAAATAGTCCATTGGGAAAGGTGATTCCATCACAGAAAAACCTTCTAATTCATTTTTTAGTCAAAAACAAGATATTTCTGATCCTATGTATGGATGCTCTATCCAAAGAACTAATTAACTTGTTTTTTTTTAATGAAAATTTCAATTTCGTTAAAAAGTGTGTGGTAAAACCACCATCAAGTAATCAAGTTACTTTGTAATACAAAAAAAAAATTAGAAATCTCGTTCTTCTCTTATATCAGATATATGTTTAGATAGACAAAGAGATTTTAGAACCTTAATGCCTAATTTTGCAGTTTGTTTATGACAGTTCCGAGTTATTTTTCTTATCAGAATTGACAGCAGTATTTCAGTGCTAATACCTAGATATATATGGAACCAAAAAATAAAACATTACCAGAACTCGGATCAAAAAATCCTTGATCCTGTACGTGTCTAGCAATATCATATATGTACTTTATGTTGTCGTAACAAAACTTTTATGCTATCAGAAAGATGGTAAAAAAATGTTTTTCTCATGATTGGTCTCTGATAAATGATACCAGTGTGTTTATCCTGAAGAAATAAATGATGAGAAAAAAATGACTAATTCTTAAAACGTGATTTCATTAAGAAGTCTTTTCTTTTCGTAAAAGTCATTCTTTTGTAGTTTTCAAATTTTCTTTCATTCCATATATAGCGGGTGATCTAAGCTGCAACTTCCTCACAGAAAATTTTTCGGTTCTTTATACGAGGATCAAATAAGATTTCCATTTTAAGTAATCCTGTTACTGTCTGTATTTCAATTATAAAATTATAAACGAAATTTCAAGCCTAATGAAACTTTTAAGATATAAAAAACTATTCTACGTAAATATGTTCTGAACATTTCAGCTTTATTTGCCTTCATTCTGTTAAGATATTGAAAAAAAACATGGACAAGTCGCGCCATCTTTTGAATATTCAATGAAAATATATTCGGTCGTATTTATTGATATATAGAAAAGACTTGCTCTGTGGAAAAGATTTTAGCAACACATCAACTGGTTCGAAATTTTTGATCTTGTACTGACTCAATAAAAATCACATCATTCGAACGAGCATGAAAAGCTGAACAAAACGTTATAATTTTCTTGGAGACATACTTCCATGTCTCCAACAAAAGTTTTTAAAATAGATTTTTCAGTAGAAACAGCAAAGATCTTTCGTTCATTTTATTTATATATCTCTCTTTAAATAACCTACTGTTTTTTCATAATCTCGTTTTTATCGTTCTGCTAGACGTGTATACGAACATATAAGCTTCCACATATATTATGTCTAATTGATAGTGAGAGAAAAAAAATCTTGTCATACTGCTCGTGGGGTGATAATGATATTTTAATTTAAATCAGAAACAATTACTAATTTAAAAAATTCTTCTGAATAAAAATAAAACACTTATACGGAATCATATTTGATTATTATTTTGAGAAAAATATTCATTTAAAGACAGAATATTTGAAGCCTTATTTATCGTTGAAAAATATTTCTATTCAGTTTCTAATCATTTTATTCTCTTTATTGATTCAAAAAAAAATCAATCTCTCTTGTTTTTACTTCTATTGAAATAGTTTACCGATAAACATTATGTTTGAAATGTTCAAGCTCAATATTTTATTACTGTCAATATTCGATAAGAGATCTCTTCGAAAAGAGCACGTGTACAATAGGAAATACTTTACTATGTATGTCAAGTAAAACGATGAAAACGAGATTACGTAAAAACGTTGATCATTAAGAGTGAGAGAGATCGAAAGATTCTCGCTATTTCTACTGGAAAGTCTATTTTAAAAAAGTTTTGCTGCAGACTTCCAAGTACGCCTCGGAGAAAATTATAACGTTTTGCTCAGCTTTTTATGCTCTTTCAAATGATTTAGTTTGTATTGAGTCGGCATGAGATCGAAAATTTCGAATCAAGTTGATATGTATCATAAATTTATATAATTGTCATGATCACTACCAATATTTTGAATTAAAACAAAAAGATTAATTGTGTATTAGGTTAGTCAAAATTCTTATGTTTAATTGCATATAAAGGATGTTTCATCAGTCTTGAGGTGTAACATTAATTAGTTTATATGCAAATAGAAAAGAACTTCTAACCGAATGTTTTTATATGAGCTTTGAGTACCCGTGTCAATCTTTCAAGTAACATATATTATTGGATAATATCGTTTGTACATGAGAATGTGAGAATAAATTTTTCGCAATTGATCAAAATGATATTTTATTTAAAAAAAAAAAGCAAAAAAAAAACTTCTATATTAATCTGATTACACAAGTTCATTTAAATATGACACATTTGTTGTCTACCACGTTGTATTAATTTTAATTTGTCAAGTCTTCTAGAAATTTAATCAATCATTACAAGTGTTTTTTTCAATTTATTAATTTTTATTTGTTTAAAGCGTGAAACTTGTCCTCTTCGTACTTTCTTCTTTAACATTCTCCATACACTTTCAATGGACTATACATCAGCAAATTTAGCGTCACCTTCTTGAGGTGAAAACTCAATTATTACATAATTCATCAATAGTTCAAAGTATAATCATTGTTCTTTGCATTTCGTTTTGTACACGATGTTTTTATATGTTTTATCCATTTCAATTCGGTTACTGATTACATAGCTCTATTGAAGATGTAACTAGTGGATTGTGACTAACACCGAATAATCGAATAAGATAAATAATTATTGGCTTTTACTGCGCTATTTTTTATGTAGAATATGTTAAGCACTTTATTAAAAAGTCATTTTCATATTTTGAACTGGTCAGATTTTTTTCAATTGGACCAGATCAACCGGTTGAAACTGTTGAATTAACTATCGAAAAACTGGTAAGTTCAATATATCAATTAAACAATCAGTTCTTTCGAAAAACAATCTATTATTTCAGTTCTACGAAGACATACAATGTAAAAACTCATATAATTCTTGAAGTTTCTATTAGTAGCAACTCCTATGATAAATTTGATCTATTCTTATTTAAAATAATTATTTAACACAGATGAAAAGCATCTCAACTCGTAAAAGGATACTATTGCCGATAGTAAGATAGTATGATTTTTATATGAAACTTCCTATTTCAAGGTTTTTTTTTTAATATCGAAATGTTTTTACAATTACGTGATGCGAGTATTTGATAAGATCTTGACAATAGAATGGAATTTTTCTGATATTTTGTAATGAAAACATAAACTGAAAACGACTAGCCATTGAGATTTAATGAGAGTCGGTTAAAAATAGCCCAGAAAAGTGTGCTCGAAATTTCGAGATGAAAAATCTTCAGTTTAGATCG